AACGCGTCGTATGCTGCTTTGAATCTTATTCTCTATATATACACACCCACCCACACCCTAGTTGGATGCATGCCTACTTATATTTTGTTACTTTTAAAATAAATATTAGACGAATGTAAAGCAAAGTTTGAAATTTTTTACACATAAATTCGATATCATGGATTATACAACGATGGAAATTTGATCTCTTTAATATTTATCTTTCTTAATAACACAGAAGATAAAATAACGCAGTAGGGGTGGCTGAATAATTTTGACAACCATCACGTTTAGAAAATGATTCTTTTTTTGAAGATAAAAGCACGTACCACAATGTTAAGAATACAAACCACTACGTAGCCGAGGATTCCAGCTCTTAAAAACCCAGGTAGAATCCAGGGTTTCCACGAACGAGAACACTATGAGGGTTCCATGTTCTTGGGGATGGAAGCTCAAATAGTCGAATAAAACTGATTGGAGATGAAGGAGTCTGATTAAAATTTGGTCGAACTCGAACCATTTTAATAGATTTTTACTTACCAAAACTTGATTTTAAAATGATGCTTTTGCCACTTGATATTACAAGAAGAGTGCATGTGAGATTCAGACTGGAGATAAAAAATACTATTGGTATCTCATTGAAAAATTAAAAAACAATTTTGAAAAAGTAAAATTTCAATGGGCAAGAACCTCCTAATAAAAGTTTCGATGGGTAAGCCTCCAAATAAAATGGGCAATTGCCCATTTGCCTCCCCCTGGTTGCGCCACTGTTGACACCGGTCGTAGTTATTCTAAGGCCTTCGAATTCAATCATACATTATTCCTGATTATTGCAAATATGTTGTGCTGTTTTCAAAAAATCAATTACAATTCATTTTCAGTGTGTATACTTTATCAAAATTGAAAACTGTGAAAAATTCAGAAAAAGTAAAGGGGAAAAATGGGCGAGCATGTAAGGAGAAAAGCAAACAAGTCGAGAACATGATAAAGGAAGCTAACTAGTGGAGAATATAAGAAGGGGAGGCTAGCTGGTGGATAATGTTTGTTAATATTGAGGGTGGTTGCTGCTGGTGTTAGGTTTTCAGTATGGATTTGGATTTGTGCCATATGTCCTACGAAAGAAAAAAGTAGTGAATTAATTCAAGATCATAAATACTAGAAATGTGAAGCTCAAAGAAGAATATATAAATGGGCGTTAGCAGCCGACCTGATACCTCATTACTGACTTTCTTATATACCTTACAGAGAAAGCTGATTTTTTTAGCACTTGTACTTCATACA